ATAAACCCTGGATCACCAATTATCTGAATGAACTGCTAAACTAAAAAATAAGAGCCTTCAGGTAGGGAGAAAGAACTTATTGAGGCGTATACAGAGGCAAGTTAATGTCAAGATAATAAAAAGCAAGGAGGCATACAGGAAGAATCTTGAAAGCAAGCTCCAGCAGAACAATATCAGAGATGTATGGTCACAGACTAGGAGGATCAAAGATGTTTAACAAAAGGAGAATCGGAGAATGGGAGTCTGGACAGATGAAGCCAATGAACTGAACACATCTTGTCCAGCTCAGAAATAAGCTTGCATCATTCTCTACTGCCCGCAATCAAACATACATCCTGCCCTACTTTGACCCAAAGCTTCCATCTTACACCTCAAATGTTTCATCTTCCACCCCTGCATTGGCGCTTTGCTTTATGGATTTCCTCTCATCCTCATCCTAAGTAGTTGCTCTAGAAGTCAATTCAAGTGACAACTGGAGAAGCTGACATCCCACATCCCAGTACAAGATAGAGTCCTGTCATCTGCAGATCTGCTCTGTGGTTGACTCTGACCACTGGAGATGCAACTGGGAAGTTGTCTACAAAAAGGAAGAGGCAGATTGCACATCTTATGAAGTCCTTCAGTGTTGCACCATATCTTATATGAGTCTTTTGTGGTAAGTGCAATATATTCTGTCGTTATCTGCTGAAGTAAAAGCAGCAGAACAAAGGGCTTAAAGAATCTTAACAGGCTGATAGGGCAAGTTTGCTTTTTCCTAGGATATACTTAGAATCTCTGGAGAGGATTTCACAAAGAATTTTTCATAGCATTAGTAACATTATGAACATGTTATTCAGATTACACCTAACTCTTATCTGGTCAGCCTAACTCCAAGCTCCTTCCCTCATCCCTTACCTCATGCCTTGCTGAAATCAAAGCCTGGTTGATCTGTAACTTCCTGAAGTTCAATTGCAGCAAAACAGAAATACTTCTGGTAGAAACTAATTCAGTTTTATTCCACCATCTGTGCCTCTCATCAGGTTAATAGTTTTGATGTCATCCTTGAAAGCACTCTTATTCACCTTCCACATCAACAACATTACCTGATCTGCAGGGGCGGATCTAGAAAAATATTTATGGGGTGGCAAGAGGGGGACAGGAATTTTTTAGGGGTGGCAACATATGGCATTTGTTTACACTGAATTTATTCACAGTTATCACAGTTTGGTGAGAATAGTATGTACAGTACTAGTGTTTCATGTGAAACAGTTCATATTAGAAATACATCGTACAATGTGATCGCACTTAATAGGAGATAGAAGAATGATAACACTACTTCTAGAGGGGCATTATCACAGGAAAGGTATTAAGGTTAGACACAGGTGCTGAGTCGCAGATGTGACAGATTGACTGTCAGAGAGGCAGCTTTGCAGCATTTGCACAAGAAGAAACTATAGAAAGAAAAAGTTACCCATCAGGGATCTATGGACTGAGCTGGACTAAAGTGAGCAGAACTACACAGTAGAAATAAATGGGTCAAGGCACCCGAACAAGGTACTGGACATCTATGTATTGTTTACTCTGAACACACATTTACCCCATTTGTTCCTCAGTAACTTGACATACAGCAGTTACGGCAACATGAAAGGGACATTTCATGCATGTAAATATGCTGTAGATAGAGCTGCATATGGAGGACCAACTCTGCCATATTTAAAAATAAATACAGAAATAAATAAATGCTCAATAAATAAATAAACATACAATTAATTGCCACCAAAAGTACAACCAACAAATAAATGTAATTAGAAATTATATTATAATGGCAGGCAGAAATGTTAAAAGGGCAGGCAGAAAGAAATAGCGGCGAAGAAATAACTAGGGTAAAAAAATACAAAGGAAGAATAAAACAGACAAAAATATGATAACATGCACATAAATAAATACTTCAAAATATAAGTAATGAAAAAATGAAGTTGAAGATAATAAATGACAAAAAAAATAAATAAGGTAAATTTTAAAAAGGCAAAGAAATAAAGAAGCCAATTAAAAGAGTTATATACCTTTATGACTAGCTGTATAATTTAATTTCTACTTACATTTATTTGTTGTTTGTATTTTTGGTGGCAATTAATTGTATGCTTATTTATTTATTAAGCATTTATTTATTTATGTATTTATTTTTAAATATGGCAGAGTTGGTCCTCCATACTGCTGTATCAACAAATCAACAAAAAGGCGGGTTCTGTATGTTACATCAAAATCTCCACAAATCTGAAAAGAAGCAACATAAAAATATATTTTGCTTGTGAGTAGGTTCATACAGGTCATTTCTGGATAGTTTTAAATTATATATACAAAAGAAGAAACAACAACTCTGCTTCATATTAAGCAGGATTCACACCAGTATCACATTTTTAACTTTTAACACTTTTGGTTTTATTAAAGGAAATATCAGATTTTCTCAGGTGCCAAAACAAAATGTAACAGCTCTGTAAAGGTTCACCAGAGAACATAAATTTAACATGACTATAACAGCTGAATGCAGTGATTTCCATGTTGCTCAGCAAAACGCTTCACAACTTTATTTAGATCCAATGCCTTTGTGCGTTTTGATTTGAGTGCAACCAAACTATATAGTCTCTTTTCTGTCATAGTTGACCGCAAATATGTCTTTATGAGCCTGAGACGTCAGGCCTAACTAACATCATAGTTTGAGAAATAACGTTCTGCAACCTGATTTTTATCATCTCAAAATCAGCATTGCAGCTATGCTAGCAACATTGTACTTTCATTATGATTTCATTTCTCGATAGATAGTTAATCAGTTTTTACCTGTTTCATCCCATGTCTCCTCTCCACATCACCCCTGGCTCCCTGGCTTTGCCCCATTCGGTTTTCAAACAATCAGTCTCAGTCGCTCTCGTGTCATCTCGTGCTGCATTCACTGCAGTCCGACATTGGAAATTAGCGGTCGCAATTCTCAAATGATCCATAATTTATAAGCCTCGCCACCCCTACCGCCAACTGGGGTGGCAGCTGGGGTGGCAAGGCTGTCATTTAGGGTGGCAGTTGCCACCCTATGCCACCCCAGTAGATCCGCCTATGCTGATCTGCATATTTTCATTCATGAAATATCCATCATCTTCTAACAGTATGTAATGTCTTTCATCCTTATGACAAGAGAATAGGTTGGAGTTTGTCTGCTTGGCAATGTCCTGGCATCAGCAAAAGGGCAATCACACAGAGCCTGGTTATGCTGGAAGTTTCTTCCTGTTAAAAGGGAGCTTTCCTCTCCACTGTCGCTAAATGCATGCTTGGCATGAGGGATTGTAAAGGGTCAACAACAAAATGCAAGTGGAAATCATTACCAAAAGCTCATCCAGGAGGAGCATTTCTTGCAAGTCGATGAGGGAATGTAATAAACAGGTTTTCCTAACCAATCTGACTTTATTGTCTGTTTAAACTGCCTTGAGATGATGTGTGTTGTGAATTGGTCCTATATAAATAAACTTAATTGAAATGAGTTGAATTTCCTCACACTCTGCTTGTGTTCATGTCCAAAGCCTTGTCTCCACAATTGGGACAAGTTAGTCATTACTACGCTTTGAACATTCATTATTCATTACTTAATTTGTATAAATAAGGACTACAGTTTCCTGGTGTAAGCGCAGGTGACAGCAACATGCACGTATACCACATGTGGCACACTTAACACCAAGGCACAACTTCAGCGTGAGCACAGAGCAGATGATGGTGCAGAGCCACTGATTTAATAAAAGCTTTCCTAGAGAAAAAAGTGCTAGCTAAAGGCTAAATATTTCTGTCATATGCTCATTAGGTGCGGAAATATAGAATTCACAAACATCAGTTAGAAGGTCTAATTTCAAGAATCTAGGCACATCATCTGCTTGACAGCTGCTGCCTTTTATCAAGACATATTCTTTACTCTCTCCGACCTAATATAATTTTACTTGCTTGGTTTACATTTTCTATCGCAAAAATCCTGGAATCATACAGTCCTGATAGTATTATTTTTTTTTTGGAATAATGTAACCCCTGTTTAATTCTGTTGAAAAGTTTAGATTTTATTTTTTGTTAGATTACTTGAAAAGCATTATTTTTCAGCTTCATAACTATTTTATTGCCAATTGATCATCAATAATCAATAATTCATCCACCTTACTAGGGCTCCTGCCGGCCTCATCGCTGCGGGGATGCGAGCTTTCTCCCGCTCTGCTCCCAAACGCTGGAATTCACTCCATCCTGTTATAAGCCATTCTGATTCTTTACCTTTATTTAAATCAAAGCTAAAAAAAAGCATCAATTTAAGACTCCATGCCCCCACTGATTGCCTATCCTGTTTTTAATATTGTCTATCGTTGATTATGTTTGTTGCATATTGGCCTTGGGTGTTTTGAAGGGCTCTTTAAATATAATGGGTTTCTATTATTATTAAACAATAAAGTGTCTTCAGTGAAAAACTTTTCCAGATATGGTGCAAGACAGAACTCTCCAGAAGATAATTTCTGCCTACAGCTATCAACAATCACAACAACTCATAAAAAATAAAATAAGTAAAAACATCAACAAACCCATTAGAGTGTTAAAACTAAATTTGTTGGTTGATCTTTCTTGTTTTTTTTTTAATCTAAAACAGTTTTAACCATTTAATTATTTTTGATGATTAAGAGCATCGTAACTCAGCAGAGACATTTTTTTATTCTTCACTGTAACTGACATGAGCACTTTTTTAATACCTTTTCTTTTCCATAGCTTCATCAGTGCCTCTCTCAGCGTGTTGTCTGAAAGTTCTTGTGTGTATTTCACAATCATTAAAAATGCAAAACCTTTATACAAACAGTGTCCTGACAAGCATCTAGAGCTCATTGGATACCAGTCATTAAAATTTAGCAAAGGAGCCAAAGTGCAGCTTGTGGGTGGATAGGTATCACATTCCCCCATTCAGGGGATGGATGAATTTTTCAAAGTCCTATTACCTCAAGGCGGTGCACTGTGACATTACAGTTGTGTGTCTCAGCTGGAAAAGCAGTCGAGGTTTTGAAAAAAGCGGAATCCACAATAACAATATGAGTCTCGGGGTGGCTATACTGATTCATTTACTACTGTTGGTTGACAGGGCTTATACTAAAAAAGGTGAGTTTTCATTTTTTATCCTGATGGAACACTGTTTAGATTTAATAGGAGTGTTTCATATTGCCAGGGCTATATATACAGATAAAGCCGGACCTTCATTGTTCAAAGTCATATTGTAATACAATAGTGTAATACAATTTCATGGATATCAGACTGCAAGAAAATAGTGACATCAGTCAGGAATAAACAGAAAGCTTTTTATAATTTTTCCTCTGAACTGAAATAAAAATGTTTTTGTCATTTTTAGGTGTCAAATGTGGAGGAATCCTCTCTGCTCCATCAGGTAACATTTCCAGTCCAAACTTTCCAGGTCTGTATCCCTACAACATTGACTGCGCCTGGCTGATCGTGGTGGCCGAGGGTTCCTCTGTCCTCCTCACCTTCCACCATTTTGAGCTGGAGTACCATGCCAGCTGTGCTTATGACTATATCAAAATATACAATGGCATATCTGAGGACGAGGGGAACCTCCTTGGGATATTTTGCGGTGACATTTCCCCACCTCAGTTTACCTCTTCTTGGAATGTCATGTCCATTATCTTCCATTCAGACCGCCATGTGGCCCACAGGGGCTTCAGCGTTGGCTACAGAAAAGGTAACCTTACAGATTTAATGCAATATGACAGATTTAGCAAGGTTAACTTTTGCTTATTTTGTAATGAAATGTACTCAAACATCCTGGCCTTTACCTTCCTAAATATATTTTGGTACACCTCTGTAAACCATTGACCACAAAAGATCAAGTTCTTATTTGAACCAAGCATTTATCCTGCAAATATAAAACAAAAATACAAATACCACTTTGTATGAATGCCTTATAAGACTAAGACTTTCATATATTATAAATTTAAAAATCTGTATTGAGGTTTAATAATTTAATTTTAACATTTACTTTATAAAGTCATTTCTGGGGGGGGGGGATGGTTGATACGTTTTACATTTTTAAATCTTTAAAGATGCAAGCTTTTTACACAGTTTATTTGTTGAAAATAGTTGTATATTTTCATAATGCAGTTTCTAAAATCCTGTAAAAGTTAAAGTATTCCAAGACCTTGTGATAGTGTTCCTCTGATTTTCAAGGTGAGGATGTTATCTGCTATTTAGGTAAAGGAGAAAAACCGGCATTGTTTAGAAACAGATTCTCAGAGGTTTGTACTTCTGTGAGGGGCTTCCTGTAAACAGATACCTCTGTATTACAAAGGAAGGCAAGCATTTACTTTAAGACATGTAATCAGGTATCTGTAGGTGAAAATGAAAGTGAAAAACAGGGATACCCTCTTTTGTATTAGTTCAACTTTCGCTCCATCTGGTGAGATCTTTTGCAGACCAGGCTATATCTGCTTAACTCCTTGCTTCAAGAGAAAAGACCTGTGATCTCAACAAGGCAGGCATTTGGAGTTTCTGTTGTAGTACAGTATGGGGGATATTAGAATTTTTTACCAACACAATTTTAGAGCTTGTTTTAGATTGTTGTTTGAGAATCTTCCCAAACTACCTCACAGCTAGCTGGTTTAACATTAAGGACCATATTAAAGCATATTTTTTCTGATTCGTAGTTATTATATTATTATTATTTTAATTTCTTTCATATTTTGAACTAGCCGAGTTAAGCTGACCTAAGCCAAGTTTATACTGTGTAAAATTAAAATTGCACTACACACATTAAACTGGAAAATAAATCATTTGTTGTGACAATTTTAGTTAAATGCTGAGTGAGTTCAAAGTTGTTCTCAGTTGAAATAGTCAGTTTGTCTTTCTCTTTAAAATAAATCCAAGATCCAAGGATAGCATCTAATGCCTTTTCGCAATAATCAGAGGAGTTTAGTTATCACATTAATGATAATATTTTAACTTCATTGATCTCAGATTGGAGAAATTTACCTCTACATTTAACCCATCCCTTTGGGGGGGGCACCCATTGTGCCGCGCCCAGGGAGCAAGCGGGGGTTAATGGTCTTGCTAAGAGACCCAGAGTGGCAGTCTGTGGGAGTGGGGCTTGAATTCAGAACCTCAGGATTCCAAGCTCTATTCCCTAACCACTAGGCCACTAACCAATAATTAATTATTAATGAAGCTGGACCATTAATGAAGGTGCTCTGGACATTATATGATAAAGATTGTCTTAATCCACTTTAACCAAGGATGGCTCTATTTTATACATAAATAAAAACAAAACAGGTTAGTTGTTTTCTCTTTAGCTTGCTTGGGAAAAGGTAAAAGATAAATTTTGTCTTAAGACTACGGGTTGTAGACTTAAAAAATAGATATGCACAATTAGGCTATGTATTGTTTTATCGTTTATCTTGTACAAAACATTTAAGGATTAAAAAGTACCAATTAGAACGAGAATGATAACAAGATGGAGGCTATAGAAAAGAAGAGCATTGGCAGCCATTGAACTTCCAGCAAAAAAACAAAGCAAAACAAAATATATATTATGGAAGAGTAAGAGTTCAGACGTAAATAAGTTTCTAAATATAATATCTTTTACAGCAGAAAATGCTTTAAATCTTAAAGTCACTGAGACACAAAAATCTTAAAATGCAAATGCTAAAATTTTGCTTGAATTATATTGACTGCTTTAATGGTAACTTTAAAAATTACGATAAGCTCAAAATCTTAAAACATGGTAAGAGGTACACGGTTATGAAAGCAATAAAGAATAAAAATACTGGAGCTATTTATTTAAAATTTTACTTTTTTGAATTTTTGTACAACATTTTTTGGTTATTAAAAAATAAATCTTTTAGATTTTTTTTCATTGTTTTGCTTTTGCAAGTGAGCCCGGAAGAACAATATTTACCATTTCTTAAGTCAAGAGAAGCAGTAAGATTGGCATGCTATGGAATGGGAATGTTTTCTTTATTCATCCACTAAAAAAAGCAGCAGGAGCAGCAGGGAACAATGAAGAATAAATCATTAATTAGAACTTTAAAAAATGGATGAGTAACTATTAGAAAAAAAACTTTTAAGTTTGGACACTGAAATATTTTGCTTGGTACGAAATATATCCAGATTGCATCAGAGGGTCAATAATTTTTTTTTTTTTTCTTTTTTAAGTTGAATGATTGGTTTGACGAAATAGATGGAAAACCCAGAAGTCCATATGTCTACAGAGTGTGTATTTTATACAGGCCAAAGAAAATTGACCAACCTATCAAGAATGCAGTTGTTAAATATCTGATAACACCTGTTTAGTGGAGACTTACTTTATATTAAAACATCAGGGAAAGAACATATGAATTAAGGCTGAAACTACCAAAAAAACGCACCAAAAATCACTTCAGGAATATAGCATAGATACATCAGTTCTAGAGATAGAAAAGACACAGACACTTTAAACAAGATTAAATACCAAAAGCATATTTGTAAAATGTACTGCATAAATTATTAAGAAAAGCTGTTTAATAACAGTTTACATCCTCCTTGAAAAAAGGAGTGCTTTTTCTTTAAGCCCCACCACCAACAAACAAGTTGAGAGTCTGGTGCCTAGTAGCAACCTGAAATACGCCGAGAAAACAGATTACTGAGGTGAAATGGAATCTGCTACGGCACTCTTGCTGTCTGTGTACGCCACAGGTCAGTATCGTGTGTGTGTGTGTGTGTGTGTGTGTGTGTGTGTATGTGTGTGTGTGTGTGTGTGTGTGTGTGTGTGTGTGTGTGTGTGTGTGTGTGTGTGTGTGTGTGTGTGTGTGTGTGTGTGTGTGTGTGTGTGTGTGTGTGTGTGTGTGTGTGTGTGTGTGTGTGTGGGTGTGTGTGTGTTCTCATTTTTGTTAAGAGGCTGAAAAGTAACTTTCTAGAGCATAGACTACCTCCATCTAGTGATGTCGGTCTATTGATTTTGATGTATTGATTGAAAATTGTTCATTATTACCTTGGTTAATTGACATCTAATGTTAACTCTACTAAATTTTATAGCAGTAGGGTAAAATGCTTGTCTTTGTTCAAAAGACTGTATTAACTGTAAAGACTGTCTTTTACATCAGCCTGTTTTCAGGGCCTTTTTTTTTGGCTACATATTTGTTATTTTTTGCTACATGCCCCATCTTCTTGCCATATGTTTCTATGGCATAAATCAGTGTCTGTGACCTGTTTTCATTTAAAAAAAGAACATTGGCACAAACCTAGCCTGTATGTATTTTTTGTATTTGTATTTAAATGATTTTCAATCAGAAAAAAAATGTGTGATTAAAATGCGATTAATCGCGAGTTAACTTAGGCATTGATGCGATTAATCGCGATTAAAAAAATTTAATCGATTGACAGCACTAATATATATATATATATATATATATATATATACATATATATATATATATATATATATATATATACATATATATATATATATATATATATATATATATATATATATATACATATACATATAGAAAAACTTTGGCAACCTTTATTCCCTAAGGTGGTATGTGGCTGAATTTCTACTTCACTGCAGTAAAAAAACAAACAAAAAAAACAGGTGTTTTGTATTGGCCTGTAGAAAAATGCACATACTAAATGGCTCACAAGAAGTGACTGTGGATGAGATTACTGCGCGTACGCATCCCCGCAGCATTGGCATGTTGCTCCACAGGCGCAGGGGGGAGGTCGGGGTTCTCCCGTAGGGCGTCAGGGCGACATGGCATTTAGAACGTCGGACAGCACTTCTGAAAAACGAGATTGGGTGATCCCAGATCCCAGATGCAAAAAAGTGTAATGTTGCAAGGAGTTTTGTGATATCTGGTATTGCGTGGGTCCTCCTTGTGGCTGGCTCCATATCCATTCGGAGTTCCCCCAACAGCTCCAAAATGGCAATGCTGGATAAACGATATGTTTTGATGATCGTTTCCTTGTTCATTGCAAAAATATTCACACGGAGTGAAAAAATGCGTTCTCTGCGTCTCCTTGCTTCATTTCGATGTCTCCTTCTTGCGACAATAACCGCTGCCATGTGTGCGCAATTACTCATACAGACCATTTGCCCCTTCTTTTGAAACATGTTAAATATAGAGTCAGATACCGTTAGCAAAATTGCTTTCAGGTTTGATAAATCACTTTGCGAGTGCTAAATTAATATATTTACATGTTCTCCTCCCACGAGACGCAGTTTTGCGTGTAAACGCCCCATATTGCATATTCATTGCAGAAAAAGTACTAAATGGATAAGAGGCGCTATTTAGCACGTTTTAAAGACCAAATCCTTTTAGCACGCTGTTGATAGATCAGTTTGTACATTTTGTAGCGTGCTCAGTGAAATAGCTCACGTTTTTATACACGCAAACCTTTGATAGATCCGGCCCTTAGTATGTTGTTTTGTTTCCCTGTTCCCCTTCTAAAAAAATAATTAGTAATATCTATTTTCCTTTTTTGTCCATCCTCACTAGACATGTGTGGTGGAGTACTGACTGGACTATCGGGTGTAATCTCCAGTCCAGGCTACCCTCAAGAGTACAGCAACAATGCAGACTGCTCCTGGACAATCCATGTGTCAAATACGAGCGTTGTCACCTTGGTGTTCCTGGACTTCCAATTGGAGAACAACGAGGGATGCACTTTTGACTTTGTTGCCCTGTTCGATGGGCCAACAGTCACCCACCGCCATCTTGGCAAATACTGTGGGATGGATAAACCTCTAAACGCAGTTACTACCGCTAACCAACTCCTTGTAGTCTTCAAGTCAGATTTCAATATTGGAGGACGAGGCTTCAAGGCTTACTATTACTCAGGTAAGAACACAAAGAAAGCATGTTTTTAAACATTTAAGCCATTAAGGCATACTGAATGTTTGGAACTAGGATAAATCCTTTGAATTTCATAAGATCCTCTGATTCAGACTCCCAAGAGTAAAACACCTTACATGGTCCAGCAAATGCAGACATGAGGCCAAGTGAATAAAAATGTATTGATAGAAAGGCACAGTATATGTGAGGTGCAGCTCAAAAATAATGTCAAACTTTTAAGTTATCATAGTTTTTGTAGTTTTTTTTTTTTTTCCTCTTGATGTTTACCTCCTGAAAGTTGTGTGAACAATACTCAAATAAAATACGTGCATAGCATTTTAGACTTTAGACAGATTTAATTTGTCATTTTGTTTACACAAGTGTAAAACAAAAAGAAATCTAGTTTGGAAACATCTCACTGCACAATTTCATCTTTTTAAAAGTGCAGCCTTGAAAAATAGTAAAACTGACTAAATTTGCAGTTCTAACTTTTATGTATGTATATATATATATATATATATATATATATATATATATATATATATATATATATATATATATATATATATATATATATATATATATATATATATATATATATATATATACATGCATACATATATATAATGATAAAATACAATACAATAACCCATTCTACAAAACATTCAGCAGCAGTCTAATGGCATATATATTCAGCTCCTTCGACTCATTATTTTGTAATGCTATTGTTGCCCAGCCTGTGAGTTGGGGTAGGTGGCTTTGTGTTGGAAGCTTTGCAGAAGTTCCTCCTTCTCTTAATTTGCAGATAATGTACTTTATTAATCCCAGGGCAAAATTACTTTCATTACATTACTCCATATGTAATAGAGGGACTATAGGACCAGTTTGATATAACACTATTTCATACAATATATATAAAATTAATGGGTCCCCACTCCATCTCACCATCAGTTTGGGGGTCCTTGGCCTGGAAAACATTGACGCCCCTGCTCTATAATATGTCATTTCTGAGGACAACTTCTGGCCACACTTTTCAGCTTTTTGTCAAAATACCTTTCCATCTCATTCATAGCAATGTTCTATTTTCTGTTAGTCTGTCAATCAAAATTTTAATAAATTACATTTAAGTTTATGGTAGAAGATTCTGATGTAACTTACCTGTTTCCAGTTTATATTCGAAACTTGCTAATGCTTTTTATACCAACTAATTCATTATTTCCTTTACTTAAACAGGTAAAAAAAAAAAAACTAATTGGGGTTAAAATCTCTTTTACAAGCGATGAGTCATAAAACGGTCCCCATAAACACAAAGTGAGCTCTCATAAACTTAAATTACAAGCTATAAGTACCAGCTTTTAATTTTATGACAACTGTTTTAAACAGAATCCCTGAAAAGAAGTAATAAAAACAGAGAAGTCAGCTAACTGATGCGATTTACCCAATATAGGTGAATGTCAACAGGTCCTGTCAGTTGTGAGCGGCAACTTCACCAGCCCAAATTTCCCCAACATCTACCCAAACAACATTAACTGCCACTGGAGCATCACCCTTGAAGCCGGGTACCGCATCAAGCTCTTCTTTCCTGTCATGGACCTGGAGGGCCGCAACAGCCTGTCAGACGAGTGCGACTATGACTCTGTGTCTGTGTACGACGGGGACAGCCAGGCGGACGCCCTGATGGGACGCTGGTGCGGCAGGGAGCAGCCTCCTTCTATCATCTCAAAGGGAAACAAGCTGCTAGTGGTCCTCAGCACAGACAGAAATGAAGCTCACAGAGGCTTCTCCGCTTCTTATCTAGGAGGTAAATGTGTTTATCTTTTATTACTAGGAGCTAATGGGACAATTAATGAAGTGTATCCTACGGGGACCGCAGGTGTAACTTATCTACTCCCCACTGCTTACTCTATTTGCAGCTTTAATCCCAATTAAATTTGCTCATGAAATCCTCAACGTTCATCCCAGCAAACAGCTCTTCTCCACGTCCTTCTTAATCTGCTCCCGAAATGTTTAAAATGTCTTTTCCTCAGTGGTGCCTGTGAACGTGAGCTGCACTAGATCAGAGTTTACCATCCTGATCCCTCAGCAATCGTTACCTCAGCTGGACCGTGAGAGCATCTACCTTGGAAACCCAACATGTACAGCTCAGCTTACAACCACCTCATACAAAATACTGGCTCAGTTTGTCAACTGTGGAACGGCCAGTCAGGTAACCGGCACACATGCTCTCTTATATAATGCATTTTTTTTTTTTTTTATCAAGCTCCTGAAGTATATTTTCAGATCTGTGAAACAGAAAATTGATTGTGAAAATAAGATAAAAATAAGCTATTGATTTAAAAGAAGGGTTCATTAACTTAATTAAAAGTAATATTTTACCACACTGCTGAATAAAGCTAAAATATCCATTTTGTGACTAATTCCTCACAGAAACACCGGAACATCACCATGCTTGTGAACAAGCTCTACATTGATTTCTCAGATGGAAAGCAGCAAAACGTGCAAGAATACAAGGTGCAGTGCGACGCCTTACGGAAGGTCGCGTCTGTGTCCATCATTTCTGCAGAGGAGCGGCGGCTGGAGGAGCAGGCCCTGCAGACGGACAGTGACAGCAGCGCATACGCTGTAGAACCACAGGCAGAACCCCATGACTTGAGCGATATTGTCTTCATCAGCATCTGTGTTCTTGCTGTCATCCTCATGGTGATAGCCATTGTTTGGTTGGTGCTGCTTTAGTAGACATCATCAATAGGTCCAGGTCTCAACATACGCTCATACAAAAAGGAAAATACTAAATTAATGTTAACACTGCTTCCTACACAAAGTTTTTTGTTTTTAATGCATTTCCTCATCTAACAACTACTAAAATTGATGAGGCCTGAAAGGTAATATGTATTCATTTCCAAAACTTTTCCATGAATAATGCAATATTAATGCTGTAAAGCATTTCAAGTGTTCAGGAACTGCATCCCACATCTTGACTTGGTATATCTGCACTTAAACTGTACAAACTGATGTTGTTAAAGTTAATTAAATTTTCCAAACCATTTAGCAAACATTAGAGACAAAACTGAGATTTCAAAATAATGTATATTCATCCGCCGTTACAGATTATAATGTGAATAAAAACTAACCGTAAATCATCATTTGGCCATTACCAAATTTTACTGAGTTCTTTCATGGATTTTTGGAAAGCAAAACTTTTAAAAAATTTTACCCCTAAGTTAAAATTCCATCAAATCAATTTAACCCATTCTTCTACAGTTTTAGGGAGACTGATGCCAGGTTTGGATGTTTTTTGTGGGAAAAACCTGCTGCTTAGTCCAGGCATACAAACCAACACCTTGTTTTCTTGTGTTAAAAAAAAAACAACGAATCCTTGTTGGAAATTCTTGCAGCTTCTTCAGTGTTGCTGTTACCATACAAACCCCCTGGTCAGTTACAGTCCCTTCCTTTGGTTAATCTGTTCCATCTTTCATTTGTTGATCAATAACTACTTTTACTGTGCCATGATGTAAATAATGATCTGGACTGAATCCTTTTAACCATAAAACTGATTAGATCCTGTTTGACCTTCCTGAAAAATATGGCGTGAGGCTGAGAAAACAAATAAGCAAAGATTAAGAAGATCATCCTAAACCCGCTTAACTTTATTAAAGCTAAATCAGATTTTACAGTTAATAGATGTGAACTCAATAAGATTAAATGCTGAAGTTCAATAAAAAGATGGTTCATAGGCCTAATTGGTACACTTCTGTAAATTTTTTCTATCTGCCTTTTGTTTTCATATTTCCCATTTTCACATATTTGTTTTTCCATCTGAAATTATAATATGTGGAAAAAGTTTTTTTTTTTTTTTTTATCAAAACAAATAGTAAAGGGTTTGTGGTTTATGGTTTATGGAGAGGTTTGATCTATGCTAATCCACCTCACATGAATGGGTGTCTTTGAGAAACGTATCAAATCAGTCTAAAGTGTCACTAGTAAGTAAGCAGTAGAACTGTCTGCTAGCATAACTATGTGCTAAATGATTAAGAGGATGAGCTGGTGAATGTTCCGGCACTGTAACGAGCTCCTGCCAGGACCACATGATGCAATGTTTGAAAAGTATAAAAGTATAAAATATATATAGTTATAATCCAGCTATAGTTGTTGACATTTGTATTTAATGAAGTCTTTTTTTCAATTCAGTTTAAAACCAAAATCAACAACAGATGGTAAAGCATGATGTAAGCCGGAGCTATGGTTTAAATATTTAAATTTACACCCATAAAATGTAAATGCGCTGATGTGCCACAATCTGTAAAAAGTTTTTGCATTTTTATGAACAAACTGAGAACATGATGAAGAGTAAAAACAAAATAAAATGTAAAAAAAAATCATGTGCAACATAATCTCATCCACAAGAGGTTCAAGTCCCAGTCTTCTCAGTGTTCACTTATTTTTTATACTGGGAAACGAGCTGACTGACGGATATTTTGCTGTCTTTTACTTGACTTCTGATGTCAGAGTTGTGTCTGAAGGCGAACACCAGCGCCCTGATGGTCCGTCTGTAGGAGCTGCTGACCAACCGGGAGCTCTGGTGAAAAACTTCTCTCTCAATGTTGTCTATAAGCCCAGAGTCCTCCTGTATTGCACACAAAACAAACAAGCAGGAAAAAAGACCCTTTAGCTTAATTAGGTCAGCTGATATAAATTGCAAAAGCATTAGAAAGGAAATCAGGGCATCAATATAAAAAAGGGTTATCAGTGGATGTGAAACCAACAAACCTTATTTTGATATAAAAATATGATTTCTACAAATTTAAATAAAAACTACATGTGTAAAATCACGCAGATGTGTCTAATTCTTTTCAACAATACCAAAAAAAATACCAGTTATTTCTTTAGCATCAATCTGATGCAACTAAGCCCTTTGATGTAATTGCATTTACATTAAAAGCTAATAATAAAAATAGCTGTAATAAACTAATATTAATAAATTTACCCATTTAGGCAGGCCAACAATGACCCTAACAACTGCTTTTCAGAGGCATGGACCAGTATTGGGTTTTGCACGCCGACGACTTCCACGACTCCCCATTACTAAGGGGCGGGCCTGTTCTTCCGGTTCAATTTGTAGGTTTTCTGAGCCACAACAAGGTTTTGTTGGGCTACTCTATAAAGCTTGAAACTCAACAATAGTCCAGACATTTTGAGTTGAAAAAGCCTTCTGGATGGGAAGCGAGACAAACTTGGAAAACAAAGTCTAGTGGTTTGTTTTTTAATATTTTTTAAAACTTTTTTGGAATGACTATGACCTGGATGGCTGAGAATCTTCACCAGCATAATAGATTCATAGTTTTATTTTTCAATAAGTCGCTTCTCACATAGCTAGGAATTTCAGATGTGCCTCGTGCCTCAGATTCCACTGCTCCAATTAGTTTCTGCACATTAATATTTAAGTAAAGGTTCAAGATTTGTCCTTACCTTGTCAGAGTTATTCTTTACCTCTTTGTGTTTACAACAACAAAATATACAACACTTAGGTTTGTCACGACTTAATGGAAGCAGTGGAAGAGATTTAGAGCAGGAAAAAACTTTGAATAAAACAAAGGGGACAAGTAACTAAGTGGTAAAGAAAGGAGGAACAGAATAAATTTAGACAAGAAATGAACATAAGTAAACATGAAACGAAATAAAGGAAATAAAAGGGGGAAAATAAGGAATAGAAATCAAGACATTATAGGAGGGAAAAGTGTTGGAAAAGGGCACAAAGAAAGAGAACATGTGACAAAGGATGCAAGTAAGGAAGAATATAGATTATAGTAAGTAGAATTAGGAGTAAACCCTAAAAACACAAATCATTTTTCATGCCAGGTTGTTTCTATACTTGGAAAGACCTGGAAAGTATTTAAAACTTTGAAAAATGATTCCAACATTTTTAGGAACCGTAGTTTCAAAACTAATATAGTCAGAACAAGATCGTTTTTTTTAAATATAAAAACAAGAAAGACAACCTAAAGGGATATCAACAAAACATGAATTTAAATGAGGCAGGGTTTCTTTTAACCTTGACTGTAAATATTTAAATGCCATTTCAGTTCATCAACCTGATGAAAACAATACATAAAGGTTTAATATAACTAACGCTTTAATGCTCTGTATCACCTTGACTCCCAGTGCTTCAGACAGCAGCTTCCGAGCGTTGTTCCTCAGCCATTCAGACTGTTTGTCAGAGCGCACTTCAATGGACGGCTTATTTGAATTCTCCTCAATGAAAGTCCTCCATTCAGTGTAAACCTTTGCTGCCAGAGAACTCACGTCAGGGTCCGGATGTTTCCTCACTTTATTAACAGTGTGACCTTGGGAACAGAAACCCCCAAAAATGTATTAATCTCAACATAATCTGACCTCTTGGCAAAATGTGCTTTACATAGGTCCAAAAAGATTAACTGTATGAAGCCTAACACAAAAATATATATATTTTTTAAATGAAATCGATATGCGTTAACATTAATAGTATTACAAGCTGTCCCTTGTAATGCTATTAATTGTTATTTAGTTAAGAAAAAAAAAATTTATTTTTATGTTACTTTAATCATCACACCATTAACACTTTTTGTCCACTTGGTGGCACCATAGAGCAATGGTTTAACCTGTGAAATCGCTAAGATGATGGGAAAAGTGCAGAGAATGTCTAAATTTTAATTGAACTTTATTGATCTCACACTGGAGAAATTCCCCTCTGCATTCTTTTAACCCATGCAGATTTTTTTATGCTTTCCTTTCTTTAAATCCTACTTAAATGTCTGGAATTTGCAAACAATTTCAAACACTGAACTAAGATAATGTAAATCTAAATTGATAAATCTAAACTTTCCACAATAATTAAGTCATTGTTCTTTTTAATGTAATCTAATTTGAATTGGTATGAAAATTATACTTGTGACACTAGTAAGCATTTATACATTTATAGGATAACCATAGAATGTCTTATATGGATCTTTTATATGGTTTATTATCGTTTAATATACTCACAGGGTAGAAAAGTATAATCCGACAGCAAGCAAAAAAATAAATAAACCAAGTTGACTTTTTAACCTTTAAAGTCTGGGCCATTAAATAATTGACAGAAATTTCAATTTTTTTATTTAGAGTTGTAATTGAACTCTGAAAAATGAAAGAAAAAGAATACATATATTTTGTATAAGTTAAATTAGATCCTTTATTTGCATCAATTTTGTTACATTAGGCCTTTATGTAGAATATTATATACGTTTTCTGTTCACTACTGATTATGTAAGTCGGGGTTTTTAAGATAAGCGAGATCACACTGATGATGCAAAGATCTCAAAAGATCATGCATCAAATATGATAGAATTGGTTTTAAAGGGTTAAGGTGAACTGACAGCATAACTTGGTAATAATGTTCTCAGGGCCAAAATATTGCTTGTTGTTATGGATCTGATTACTTATTAACAGGCATGTTATGTGTGGTGAAAACATTAATAACATAAATTAGAAAAGAACCTTAAAAAGTATCAGTGAGTACCTATTTTAGTGGACCTGAGCACCTCTTTGGATGGAATCTTCTTGCTCAGCTCAGTCAGGGTGTCCATCAGGTTCTCTTTGCTCTGTTCAGGCAGCTCCAGCGTTGATTTGTAGCGCAAAATGTCCTCGATCACAACTACCCTCTTAAAGAAACATTGTGGATCAACAATCATGAATTTTTTCTATATATGATAAGAATCTGAGGCTGTTTCACACTTTGATGCATAACTCACCCGCATGGACTCTATTGTAGCTTGTTTGTAAACTTTCTCGTCGCTCTTCGGTTTTTTTTGTTTCTCTCCCTTCGGAAGCCGAACCACAAACTTGTCCATTTTCAATACAAAATATATTCTTAAAAAAAAAAAAGCTCGCGTACGATACCAGAATAGTAAGCTAACCACTTCTAACTTAAGCAGTTACCTCGCTAAATGCTGTTTACTCTCTATTTTCAAAATAGCTTTACGATAGAATTAAAAGAAAGATTTCATACATCTCCTCAAACCATTTTGACACCCTGTTACAATGTTTATGTTTGGGAAAAATCATTGAAATAGCGTCAAAATTACATTTGCAATAAAGACGGAAGCCCTTTTGTAGCTAGGATCATGTTGCCTTCAGGTACGTTAAGGGAAAAAAACACTTGATTGTGTAGGCAATAATAAGTACAATGTTTTTGTAATAAAAAGCTAATTATTTATTAATTATCTAATACAAATTAAAATTTTCATTGATGTTTAGAACAGATGGCCTAAAATATATCGCTGTAAAAAGCAATCCTGTTTACTAAGGGGTGCCTATCGTTTGATATTTTGATACATTAGTGAAAGAAGACCATCCTGAAATGCACCGGCATTTCCTTTATATATATATATATATATATATATATATATATATATATATATATATATATATATATATATATATATATATATATATATATATATATATATATATATATATATAACTCATAAAACTCATGATATTCTGTTAAGTTCAAATATTCTAAAATGTGTAAATTTACGGAAAAATGTAGATACTTCTAAAGTTAAAATTTCAATAGAAAAAAATATTGAGAATTTAACGTGTTTAATTCGTATCCTTTTCGAACAAATTTACCAAAATGTACCCTGACGTAAAATATATCTTTAGACTAAATACCACAATGTTAAATAATTATTGTTTAAAGTGAACCTTTAGGTCTATCGTAAAGAGGAACAGTCATTGAACGCATCCTTAAAGGAAAGAAATCTCGCGAGGTTACACTCCAGATTCGGGTGGACGGGGAAGAGAGGGACGGTTTGTTGTTGTTTGCAAAATGGGAACCTTTTCTTTCTTTAGCAATATTTTGGGGCTTTATGCCCTGTTTGCTTTCACCTCAGCGTCCTCAGACGTGTTCGACAGCGTTCTGGGAAGCACAGTATCCTGTCATAAATCCTGCGAAATGACATATAGTTTGCACACGTATCCACGGGTGAGCACTTTTATCTTGCTTATGTCAGCTAGCGCGCGCTAACATTATGCAATTAAGAAACGGAAAAACAAATTGACTAGTCAGGTTAAGTCCTATTTTATTGTTTGATATGTTTGTTGTTCTTAACTGAATATTGTATATAAGGAATGTTTGCTACGTCATTTGGCAGAGGCATTCAACTGGTCCGTCGGTTTGTTTGTTTTTGTGTTTTCAGGAGGAGGAACTGTACGCCTGTCAGAGAGGCTGCCGTCTGTTCTCCATTTGTCACTTTGTCCGAGACAGCGACGATTTTAATCAGACCAAATCTGAGTGTGAATCAAGTAAGTTTTTTAACTTCCTTTTACATTCTGGCCCGGATGGCTCTTGTTAGAGTTGAATATTGTCTATATCCAAATGCATTGTTAGATTCAGCTCAAAGATCCACCTGAATGTTCTAGAAATGTCTGGAATTTATGGTTTACATGATACTGTAAAACAGGGCTTCTGTCATTTTGCAGTTTTTGTTTCTGTCTGTGCATCCATGATCCCTCTGTTTGTAACTCATCCTCACTCCAACCATCATTTGTCTCTTCTACTAATTATCCATCCATTTACATAGATTCATTTATTGGCTGACCAATGGAAATCAGTGCATCACTGTTAAGTTTAGGGGGAAAAAACTTCCTAAGATCTTTGTTTAAAAAAATCTTAACAAAAAACCCATAAAATCCCAATAAATCTAGTTTCTAATGTCACAAGATATTTGATCTTTTGCAAGAGATTGTATTTGTTTTCTATTCATCATGGTGACATTCTCTGTTCATGTAAAAATGTACTGAGGTGTGATAAGAAAATATGAAGCAGAACCCTGTATACCAATTAAACGATAAAAAATAACTCATGATTCATTGTGTTGCATGCCGCTTAACCTATTTTACCATCTGTTACATTAATTTATGCAGCCTGTCGGGAAGCCTACACTCAGTCTGATGAACAGTATGCTTGTAACATGGGCTGTAACAACCAGCTTCCGTTTGCTGAGCAACGTCAGGATCAGGTATGTCACTTGTTTCATTGATGCAGAATGACTATTAGAACAATGGCATTCTCAGTCTCTTATTTACTGCACAGTTGGAGGCCATGATGCCTAGGATTCATCTTCTACATCCACTGACGTTGGTCAGAGGATTTTGGGAGGATGTAATGAGTCAGGCTCACAGCTTCATCACTTCCTCCTGGACATTCTACCTTCAGGCTGATGATGGAAAAGTTGTTGTTTTCCAGGTATTTAATCGAAAACAGTCAACCTTGGTGAAATAGTTCTATATAATACCAACCTGGTGAGTCCCTTTTATTCAACAAATGCTTCTCTCTGCTTCCCAGTCTGAACCTCAAGTTAGAATTTTCACTCATATTGAGCTGGACAAGGATACGCAGGAGGAGCCCCAGAAGAGCTGTAAGAACATCAGAGTTTATTATTTTATTTTTAAAAACGGGCTAGGGAGGAACCTATGTGTACTGACTGGCTGTAAATTATGAGGCTCCGTAACCAGTTTATGGTGGATCTATACTGTACCAAAAGGAAAATAAATGGCACCACAGTATTCAGTATTTTGCAAATAACTCACTGAAGACAGACTGACAGACTAGACTTTAATGAAGCCCTTTCTAATAAATCTAGTCTAATATTCATACAATACTATGTAGTCTAAATGAATCATGTATTCTACACCAAATATACACATTAAAGGAATTGAGCAGATAACATTGCCCTCTCCGCTATAAAACACAAAATCCAGTTCTGAATAGAGCATGTATTTGGAATTATAAATGCAACTATTTGGTGTTAGTATTTGTTTAACAACTGTACTGTTAATTTATAGTTAATATATTAACATCTAAAATGTCCAATTAGTTGGGACATTATCCTTAAGAGAGTGCTGCTATCCTCTGGTTTAGGTGGAAACTGTTTATTCTAGATGTGATGAATTACCCCTTAGCTCCACCCCCTGCTCTGATGTATGCCTTTTAACTTTGTGACAGTGCAGTGTTACCATTTTCTTTCAGCTGGGCCAAGGTACAAGTCTAGTGCCCCTTGTGGCCATAAGTTATGCAATGTTCTTTTGAAAAAAAAAAAAAAATAAATAAATAAATATATATATATATATATATATATATATATATATATAGTCAGAACTAGAATTATGGAAAATTCTATGTAATAACATTCTCTTTGTTAATTTCTTTCTTTTTTCTTAGTTCCAGGACTGAGCAGTCCTATTTACAAAGAATACCATCGCTCTTTAATCCAAGAGAGAGACAGGGGTCTCAGTGGTGAGAGCAGCTACGATGATGGATACAACCTTTTTAGCTGCCTGTCAAGGTTTGCATTTCTCTGTTGTCTTAGCTGATTTTATTAGCACCAAAGGTTCCACATGATGCCGCGCTGCTCATGCTAACTGTTTTGTACGTGTCTCAACAGGAACCCTTGGCTGCCTGGGTGGATCCTTACAACAACTTTAGTTCTGTCTGTGTTGGTCCTGATCTGGATCTGCTGTGCTACTGTGGCAACTGCTGTAGATCAATATGTTCCTGCTGAGGTATGCCTTCTGATATTTTCTTGACTTAGTTTCTTGGTTATTTGTTTAACCTTTTTAATGCTATTGATTTTTGTTGTTGTTGGTTTTTGTTGGATCCAACACTGTGAGGATTTTCTGGGAGTCTCATATGTTTAACAAGAACCCATCTTCTTTTTAGATTTGAGAGATCGATCAGATATATAAAGCTGCTGTATTTCTTATTATATATTAATCCTTCAGAATTTACTATGAAATTCTGACATTTGATTTCTTTTGTTCAAATGTTTTTTTATGAACAATTGCTTAAAGTTTCAAAGTACAAAATATGCTAATGTATTTTTAAGCCTTTCCAAATTTGCAATGGCAGTGAAACAAACATCTGAGGTTTAATTTGGCTTTAATCAATTTGCCCAAAACAAAGTTGTATGTATTTCTGTAGTGTAAAAGAAATTGTAAAGGAGTTAAGACATTTTTTTCGTGTTAAAGCTGGGAAAAAAACGACATGCATGCTACATTCAGCTGCATGTCTTGCAGATACATCTTCACAAAATTTGCAGATTTAGAGGCTGGATTCTGTCGCAATCTTTTCTTTGAGTATCTGAGGCTCATTGAAATTGGATGGAGCGCATCTTTAAACATGATCTTGGCACAGATTCTGATGGATTTATGTCTGGACTTAGACTAGGTCACAATACATGATTGTTTTTTTATCTAAAACATTATATTTTATCCTTGGTTGAATGTTTCCAAAAGGGAAGCCTCACCAGTTTCAAGGTTCCCATATTTCTGCCAACTCCGAACTGCTTCCTTGTACCTACTGGTTCCCCAGAGCACCTGGTCTGAACATGCAATTTAAATAAAATGCTACTATTCTTTTCTACCTTTTAGAAACTGAGCATTAATGGGGACAATGACTACATCAAAGAGCAGAAACTGACTCCTTACCCAGCATCCTCTCTGATTATCATCACCTCCAAAGGGCCAGAAGAAGAGGCTGGTCCACTTCCTTCCAAGGTGAACCTTGGACAATCCAACATCTAAAAACTGGAGCTGCACTCCCAAAAGGAACCTTTCTCTTGATGAATAATCAGCGGATTTTTTTTTTTTTTTTTTATCGTTAGATTTAAGGCGTGAGCTGGTTGTGGGCTAAGCAGAACTTTCAGATTATTTACTATTAACTGTTTTGTCCCTGCTTTATTCATACATTCTTAAATTGGGATATTTCAAACTTTTTTTTTGTTTATTGGTTTAATGACACAAACGAGTAATGAGGGTATTAAAAGAATAAAATGTGCTAGGACTTTCCTGCAAGTTTTC